TATGTGCCACTGAGTTATTCATAGCGACCCTATGAAAAAGAAATAAAAAACTTGGCCTATTCTGCACCATTCTCGCATTTTCTGCCATGCTCAGTTCCTTTGTTGCAGTGACTGTGTTATTCCATTTTGGTGAGGGTCTTTCCTGACCACTCATTTTCCCATCACAAAATCTTTTTCCAAGGATTGGCATGCCCAAAACATTTGAGACAAAATTTTAACTAAAAAGGAACCCTCTGATAGTATTTCCTTAAGGCAGAGATCTTTGTTATTTTGGCAGTACTTGTTATTCTGAGGTGCAAGTTGTCTGCAACTTTATAGCAACCTTATGAACAAAAGATCTGAACCTTCCCCTATTCCTGTGTGATCCTAATAATCTCTGTTGTGCTCAAGCCCATTGTTACACTCACTGTGTCAGTCCATCTTGTTGATGGTTTTCCTCTCTCTTTCTCTGATTCCCTACCTTTCCCAGAGTGATACCTTTTTCAAAGAACTGGTGCTTTCTGACAGTATGCCCAAAGTACACAATCATTGCTGGTATGAGGTTGGAATTCCTTGAAGACATACTTCATATTTGTTTTTTGGCAGTCCATGGGATCGTCAGTACTTTTCTCCAACACCACATTTGAAAGGCAGCAATTCTTTGGTCTTCCTTATTCACTGTTCAACTCTCAGCTATTGGAACACTTGCTTCTTGTTTAATGTATAGGATTCACATGAATAATTAAGCATATGAAGTAATTGAAAATACAGTGGCTTGGTTCAGACACAGATTTTTCTTTAAACTGATACAGTCTTGCTCTTTAGCACTTTAGAGAGGTCCTATCACAGGAGATTTCCCCAAGCAAGTGTTAAGCTGATACAGCCTTGCTCTTTAGCACTTTAGAGAGGTCTTATCACAGGAGATTTTCCCAAGCAACATGTTTTAATTTCTAGACTGTAACTACCATGGGTGGCAATTGTTGATCTAAATAAAATGAATTCTTTGGCAACTTCAGACATTCCCCATCTGCTAGAGAAAGTATAGCCAGGGTGTTTCTTGGAGTAAAGATGGCAAAGCTTCATCTCACATGCTTTGGGCATGTTTGGAGAAGGACATCATGCTTGGAAAGGTAGAGGATTGGTGAAAGAGAGGAGTGGGCTCAAGATTATCAGAAATTGTGAAGATGGCATAGATCTGTTTTTGGGCTTTTAAAAAAAAAAATAATAATAGGGTCATTATGAGTTGTACTCAACTGTACCTAACATCAATTTTGCCTGTTGGTCCAGTTGTGAAGATTTTTGTCTTCCTCAATAAGTGCTTCAAATCATATTCACTTTTTGCAAACAGTGTTTCATTTGCATAGCATGATGTTGGTGAGTCTCCAGTCATGATGCTACATCTTATAGTCCAGTTTCTTGAATGCTTTCCTGAGCATACAGACTGAGCAGTTATGGAAAACAAAAACTTCAACTATCATACACACCTTACAAGATATTCAAGTATCCCATTTTTTGTTGGAATAACTTTTTTGACCTATTTACAGGTTTCACATAAGTTTAATTAAGTGTTCTAGAATTCCCATTCTTCTCCACCTTATCATGATTTTTATAATCTGCACAGTAAAAGACCTTTACATAGCCAATGAAACACTAGAAATCAACTTTCTGGTATTTTCACGTTCATCTGACATCAGCAATGATATTATTTGTTTCCTTTGCCTCTTCTGAAATGTGTTTGCATTTCTCTAGTTCCTAGTTCCTTGTCAGTGTAGTGCTTTAGCTATTTTTTAATAATCTTCACATTTTTCTTGTGTGTGATAATAATGATATTGTTTGATAATTTTCACATTGTGAAAGAGATCTGGACCTCTTTCAATCGGGTGCCCAGGTAACTGTCTTCCAAATTTCTAGGTGTAGACCAGTGTATACCTCCAGGGCTTATGTGATTACTGAAACACTGCAGTTGATATTTTGCCAGTTCTTGGAGTCATCTTTTTTACTAATAGCTTTAGTGGAGCTTGGATTTCTTCCCTTAGTACCCTTGTTTCTTGATCATAATGCTGCTTTCTGAAATGGTTCAGCATCAAACCATTTCTTTTTTGGTACAGTGAATCTGGCCTTTTCTTCCATCTTCTTTTGAGGCTTCCTGCATCATTCAGTATTTTCCCATGAAATTGTTCAGTATTGCAACTTGAGATTTGAATTTGAGCTTTACTTATTTCAACTTATAAAATACTGAATATGTTTTTCATTTTCGATTTCAAACTCCAAGTCTTTGGACACTTTATTATAATACTTTGCCTTTTTTAACTTTGCTTTGAAATCTTCTGTTTAATTCTCTTGATCGTTTCTTTTGATATCTATTTTAGTCTTATTTCTGGCAATTTTAATAATCTTTTGCTTTCTTCATGGATGATATCCTTGATGTTATCACATGGACTTTGGTCATTAATGTTCAGATGCATCAAATCTATTCTTGAAATGGTTTTTAAATTCAGGTGGGCTAAGCTGGTGAGAGCATTACAGTACTTCCTGAGTCATTACTATGAGTAAACTATGATAGTGTGAAATAGTTAAGTTTATATTGAATACTTCGTACTTGCCAGGAGCTCTAGTCACTTAGTGGTAAGGAATTACACTACCAGCTGAAAGACACATGGTTCGAATCCATCAGCTGCTCTGTGGGAGAAAGTTTGGTGGTTCCCTCCTGTGTGATTTACAAACTCTGAAACCCCACTGGTGGGTCCGCTAAGAGTCACTTCTGACTCAGAAGTACTCAAAAATAATGAAAAGCAAGTATACCATTTTAAAGACCAAGGTGTGCCTGATCCAAATCAGGGTTTTGAAATTACTTCATATGCAACTGAAAGTTGAACAAAGAATAAGGAAGACCAAAGAAGAATCAATGCCTTTGAATTGTGTTCGCAATGAATATTGAATATCCCATGAACTGCCAAAAGAAGAAACTAATCTAGCTTTGGGGAAGAAAACTAGGTGATCCTTAGAGGTAAAGGTGATGAAATTTCATGTCAAATATTTATGGCATGTTATAAGAAAGGGCCAGTTCTTGGAAAAATGTATCAGACAGGGGAAGATTGAAAAGAGAAGACCCTAGATTGACACAGTGACTACAACAGTAAGCTTAAGCGTGTAGGGGATTGTGGGAATGGTGTATAACAAATCAAGGTTCAAATCTGTTTTTTGTACATACGAGTTCATTGACACTTGTACAACCAGAAGAGGATAACATTGAGGAAAGGCACCTTCTTTAAATTAAGTTCCTGTGTACATCAAAGATTTTTTTCAATGGGGTGAAAAGAAAACCTACTGAAGGGGGAAAAACATTTGGCAATGCCATCTCAGACAAGGGTCATATAATGAAAATTTACAGAATACTACAGGTCCCCCACAAGAAAAAGAATGATAACTCAATCACAGAATGGGAATAAGATATGGAAAGATCTTTCACAGAGGGAAGGCATTCAGACAGCCAACAAACACATGAAGAAATACTCAGAATCACTGGCAGTCAGATGCAAATAAAAACCACAATGAGCTATCATCTCATGCCAATTGCAAGGGCAAAGTTTAAGCAGTACCTGTTGGAGAGGATGTGGAGAGATTGGAACTCATACACTGTTGGTGGAATTGTAAAATGGTGCAGAGAATCTGGAAGGCAGTTTGGCATTTTCTCAAAAAGCTTAACATAGAGATTCCATATGACCCAGCTATTCTATTGCTAGGAGTATACTCCAAGGAAAACAGAACAGAGGCATAATCAGATGTGTACACCAATGTTCATAGCAGCATTATTTACAAAAGCAAAAACATGGAAACAGCCCAGATATCCATCTACAAACTACTAGATTGAGAAATTGTGATACATTCACATGATGGAATACTATGCAGTGCTCAGGAGCAATGCTTTTGAAAATACTGTATAACATGGCAGAGACTAGAAAACATTATGCAGAGTGAACTAACTGGGGTACATAAGCACAAATACTGTATGAGATCATTGTTGTAAAAACAGAAGGGTGGGTAACCAGTAAGATATGTATGAGTATCCAAAGAGGGACGGGGAGGGAGTGGGGGACTGAGGGTGAGGAGAGCGGGAAGTCACAAGGTTTGGTAGGTAGATGGAGAAGGCACAGACATACAAAAACAATGTACATGAATGAAACACAATATAAACAAATTATTGTATGCAAGCCAATAATTTTTTTTTTTTAGAAAAAGAAACAGTCTGTCTCAGCTCTCTAATGCTTAGGATCTCCATCTTTATGTGTTCCATTTCATTGTTGTTAATTTTGAATGTTTCTAGATTCCTATCTTGTACATCCAGCATTGGAATTAATGGTTACTATTGTTTTCTCTTTGTTTTAAGTCTTGCCACATTAGCAAATGAAGGCTCTTCATTGAAAGCTTTACTTCCTCCTTGGCATTGACTTAGGGACTGTATCAGTGGACTTAAGCACAGCCAGAGATTGTGAAAAGGATTCCAGATAAGGAAGGGTTTTGTTTTGCTGTATCTCAGATCCCTATGAGTTGACATGTAAAGCACCCAAGAACAACAGCTTTTCTAGGAGAAAAAAATTCATAAGAAACTACTTGGGAAAATCTACCCATGAAAACCTGTGGATCAGATGGTTTTACCTGCAGCTTGAGAATGGTGCTGACCTGGTCGATCTGTCATGCATGAAGTTGTCCTGAGTTGGTGGCTAACTCGCAGTTAACAACCACCACTGCTGCCCCAGCATTAAAAAAATGGATGAACTATTTAAACTTGCCAGTCTAGTTCAAATATATTCAATAAAGTAAATTGGAAAAAGATGAAGTGATCATTACTTGATATTTTTAACTTACCCTTAAGTATAAGACAAGACTAAATATTTTAAGTATATTTACATGACAAAATACTGTATTTTTAATAAGAAATTTTTCTTTGAAGATTATTTTTAAAATGTGTTATTTTCCAGCAATTTCTCCAAATCTAAATTTATTATTAAATGTGTTTACTTGTTTTTACACAGGGTGTGATAGGTATACAGCTAGTTCTTACTATGGTGATGGCCAGTGTTATGCAGAAGATTATACCTCACTACTCTCTTGCGCGATGGCTGCTCTGTAATGGCAGGTAAGACAAGAATAGGCTGATTATGACTTGAACTGTCATGTCTTTGTTTTATCTACCAGAGGAAAGTTGGTTAACTTTCTAGAAGTTGAATGCTACATTCTCTTTCTGAAAGCATGCTAAAGTGAAGTTATGGTAGAGGGGGATCTAACTTCTTTATTTCTTTTAATTGGAAATTGTAGTTTAACTCTCAGGCACAGCAGTAATAGAATCATTGTCAAGGTCAATTTCCATGTCCTCCATTTATCCATGACCATCAAAAAAGTAGCACATAACATTTTAAGTAACTTTTTGAGAAGTTGGTAAAAAGTGAGGTAAGGAATTATAATTTTTACTGCTGTTAGAAATGTTCAACACATAAATTCTATAGCTGGTGACTCATTTGAGCACTTAATATTTACGTTGAATGCTTGAAACCATTTAAGTATTCTAAATAGTTTAATTTTGCAAACAATGTGTTCCTACTACAGTACTACTTATACCATGGAGAATCAAGAGAAATTGTCTTACTGAAATATATATGGTGACCTAATAAGCTCAAAATTAAAAAATTAAATGTAGGTGAGATAGTAAGGCAGAAACAGACAACAGAGCCAGTTGGCAGCATCAGGATAGATGAAGATTGAGATTTGTTAAAAGCTTTAATTTGTTTAGCTCCACAGTCAACACTCTTAGCAACCAGCAGCCAAGAAATTAAAAGACATTGAAATTGGAAAATCTTCTGTATGGGACTGCTCCAAAGTACTGAAGAGCAATGGTGTCACTCTGGAGACTAAGGTACACCTAATATAGGTCTTTGCAATCACTTGCTATGCGCTAGAGAACTGGGCAGTGACTAGAGAGGATATAAGAATTGACGCCTTTGAGCTGTGGTGCTAGAGAAGAGTATTGAATATATGATGGACTGCTAAGAAAACGAACAGGTTCATCCTCAAGAGTGTTAAACTCCTTGGAGGCAAGGATTCTGAAGCTTCATCTGACATACTTTGGACATGTTGCAAGGGCGAACCATTCCTTGAAGAAGGATGCCATGCCCAAAGTATGCAAGACAAAATTTTACTGTCTTACCTCCTCCAGGCAACACCCTAGCTGCACCTTTTCCAAGATATACTTGTTTGTTTGTCCTTTTGGCATTTCATGGAAATTCAGCACTCTTCACCAACACCACACGTAAACAAATTCCATTCTTCTATCATCCTTATTCATAGTCTAACTTTTATCTGAATAGCAAGTAATTGAGAAGATTTTGATTTAGATCAGATGCACCTTAGTCTTCAAACTGAACACCGTTGCTTTTCACCACTCTGGAGAGATTCCTGACAGCCAGCTTGCCCAGTGCACTATGTATTGATTTCCTGTCTGGTGGTGCCAAGGTTGTTGACCGAGGATCCAAGCCAGATGAAATCACTGACAGTTTCTGTCTGTTCTCTATTATAATGTTGTCCAGTGGTGAGTATTATTTTGTTTTCTGGATGTTGAGGTGGAATGACACATAGTACTCCATTGTGTGAATATACCTATTTCTTTAGCCATTTGCTTGTTATTGGATATTGGGATTATTTTAACCCTTGACTATTTATATAATGCTCCAATTGTGATACACATGATTGTGTATCAGTTTGTGCTGCAGCTTTAACTGCTTTGGAATGTATAGTAGTGGGATTTCTATATCAGATGGTAGTTTTACCCCCATTTTTCTAAGGAAGTGCCAGATTGCTTTTCATAGTGGTTGCACCATTTTACGTTCTCTCCAGCAGCATTTTAAAGCCAGTGGAAAAAAGAAAAACGGAATTCATTTTGATTAACTGAATATTGTAGAAAGAACAATTTGAAAGTAAGACCTGTTTATCAGATTTAGATGGTACCACTAAGTAACTGGTATCACTTTCTATTGAATTGATTTCAACGTCTGTCGAACTGTGCTCCCCAAGGTTTTCAGTGTCTGATTGTTTTTGGAAGAAGTTGATTGTCAGTCCTTTCTTCCAAGGTGCTTGTAGATGAACATGAAACCTTTTATCTGAATTTGTACTCCTAACTACTAGGTAAGACTGTAACTTCAGGATAATCAGAAAGATGCTTGAGAGTGATAAATACTAGGTTTGGATGTTTTGACTATTTTGTAGAAGTTGTTCTTGAAATCCTGACTGACTTAGTCAAAGTTGAAGAAGTTTTAGATTCCTTTTTTTCCCTTTTCTCCTTTTTACCAATTTTTATGAATGTAAATTGAGAATTTTCAGACTAAATAAAAAGAGGTAAAGAATTGACTACATGTAGCTCTCAGCGCATTCAATTAACTATTTACAACTGTTTTAACTATCAATTCCTTCTCAATAAATAAAGAATGAGTAGAGAATTTTAAAGTGTTCTTTGCATGCAGAGTTCCAGACATTTTATTTTATTAGTAAGCCTGTTTAACTTTAATGTAAACGACTATGTTGTCAGTTTTAAGATATATGCTTATAAACAGCATTGTAGGGCATTATGTACATGTTTAGTAAGTGTTTGTGATACATGAATTGAAATCCTTTTAAGACTTAAGCAGCAGTTAACTGTCAGATTGTAGTTTTTAACATATTTCCCCAGTAGTGTATTCACAAACTGGAAGCTCAGTAAATATTTGCAGAATAAATTAGTAATTTTGAATATTTTAATTGCTTTATGTAAGAAGGTTCTCTTTTTATTAGTTTGAGGTGGTATCAACATCCTACAGAAAAAGAATTACGAATTCTTGCTGGGAAACAACAAAAGACGAAGAGCAGAAAGGATAGGTAAGTTATATTGTTGACATGTAAAGTATTAAATGTTTAGTACACTTCATCATTCATTGTTAGAAAATTTTCTCTCTACCCCCTCAGTTCACCTTATTCTGTACTGTTTCCATGCAAATAATGCCTAATCATATATTCCTTTTAAACAGTTCTTTCCCTCATCTGTTGCAATGCAGTGTTCATTGTTTACCCCCACATTTTTTAGTTTCCTCCCAACCCCATTGTCAGTCCTGTTTTATAATAGTGGCATTATGCAATATTTATCCTATTCTGACTAAGATTTCACTCAGCATAATGTCTTCCAGGGTCACCCATTTTGTATAACATTTTATGAGTACCTTGTTTTTCATTACTGCGTATAGTGAATATACCACAGTTTTTCTATCCATTCATTTGTTGATGGGCACTTTGGTTGCTTCCATCTCTTTGCTATTGTGAACAATGCAGCAATAAACCTGGATGTGTCCATATCTGTTTGGGTGGAAATTCTGGTTTCTTTAAGGTATATTCCCAGTAGTGGAATTGTTGGATAAAATGGTATTTCTATTTCCAGCTTTTTGAAAAAACACCATACTGCTGTCTATAATGGTTGCACCATTTTACACTCCCCACAACAGTTATAGGGTTCCATTTTCTCCACAACCTTACCAACATATGTTGTTTGCTGCTTTTTTGAACATTGCTATTGTTACTGGGGTGAGATGATACCACATAGTTGTTTTGATTTGCATCTCTTTTCGAGCTAGGGATTTTGAACATTTCTTCATGTGTTCACCATTGGAATGTCCTCTTAGGTGAAATGTCCGTTCTTATCTTGTGCCCACTTTGTGATTGGGTTGTTTATCTTGTCGAGGTACTGGAATATTCTATAAATTCTAGATGTAGTTCCCTTATCATTACCAAATCTTTTTTTTTTTCCCCAGTCTGTGGCTTTCCTTTTTACCCGGTTGGAAAAGTTTACTGATGTGTGTGACTCTTAGAAGGTCCCATTCATCTATTTTATTCTCTTCCAGTTGTAGGTTTTTCAGGATGTGTGGAAGACCGTTTATGTTGTGGATTAGGGCTTCTAAAGTTCTTTCAAGCTTTTCTCTGATGAAGTTTATCATCCTTGTTTTTACTCCTAAGTCCTTGATCCACTCTGAGATGGTTTTTGTGTATGGTGTGAGTTGTGGGTCTTGCTTGAGATTTCTGCAGATAGTTTTCCAATTTTGCCAACACCATTTGTTAGAGGCTTTTGTTTCTCCACTTAACTGATTTCATCACCTTGTCAAAAAACAATTGGCCATAGGTAAAAGAGCTGATTTCTGGGTTCTCAGTTCTAGTCCTTTGATCTATAGTCTGTCACTATACCAATACCATGCTATCTTGACCACCATGGGTTTATATTATTATTATTATTTTTATTATTATTATTAATTTACTTACTTATTTGATTTATTTATTTATTTAGTTAGTTAGTTATTGTGACTGTAGATCATTGGAGAGGGACTTCATGCTTGGGAGGGTGGAGGGACAGCGCAGGAGGGGAAGACCCTCTATGAGGTGGATTGATTCAGTGACTGGGGTAATTGGGATGGGTGTGTCAGAGGCAATGCGATTGGCTCAGGATAGAGCAGGGTTTAGGGCTGTTGTACATAGGGTCGCTATGAGTCGCAAACAACTCGACGGCATATAACAACAACAACTGTGACTGTACACAAGATGTTTGATTGTTGCAGAAAAGGAGGAGTTTGAGCATCAGCAGAAGGTTCTGCTGGGTTCAAGATTGAGAAGGTTGTAAGCCAGGCATGTGTCCTATCTCCATACCTTTCAATCTTTATGCAGAACATATTATCTGGGAGGCTGGGCTCTATGGCGAGAAAGGTGGCATCAGGATTGGTAGAAGATTCATCAACAGTCTGTTTTGTACAAATGACACAGCCTTGCTTGCTGAAACTGAGGAGGACCTGAATTCCTTCTGCAGAAGGTCAGGGACTGCAGCCTTCCATATGGATTGAGGCTCAATATCAAGAAGACAAAGATTCTCACCATTGGGCCAGCTGGTATCATCAGGATGGATGTAGAAGAGATTAGATTAAAATTGTTCACAGCTTGAGTTTGCTTAGCTCCTCAGTCAACACTCTTGGTACCAGCAGCCAGGAAATTAAAAGACATATTGTGATGGGAAAGCCTGCTGTAAGGGACCTCTCTAAAGTACTGAAGAGCAATGGTATTAGTTTCAAGACTAAAGCGTACCTCATACAGGTCATGGTCTTTGCAGTCACTTGCTATGCGTCAGTTGAATAATGACTAGGGAGGATAGGAGGAGAATTGACACTTTTGAGCTGTGGTGTTGGAGAAAAGTATTGAATATACCTGGACTGCTAAGAAAACAAACAGGTTCATCCTGGAAAAGGTAAAATCAGGTTGCTCCTTGGAGGCAACGATTCTGAAGCTTCGTCTGACATACTTTGGACATGTTCCAAGGAAGAATAAGTTCTTGGAGAAGGATGTTATGTTTGGGAGGGTGGAGGGCCAGCACAGGAGAGGAGGACACTCTATGAGGTGGATTGATTCAGTGACTGGGGTAAAGGTGGGAGATGTGTCTGAGACAGTGAGATTGGCACAGGATAGAGCAGTATTTAGGGGTGTATTACATAGGGTCTGTATGAGTCACAGGCGACTCAATGGCATATAACAACAACATTGGCCAGAATTTTATTCAGGATTTTTGCATTTAAGTTGGTAAGAGATACTGGCCTATAGTTTTCTCTTTTGATGATATCTTTACCTGACTATGGGATCGTTTTCTATTTTGGTGGTGTCTTTACCTGACTCTGGTATCAAAGATATCTTTACTTCATATAATAAGTCTGGGAAAATTCCATCTTTTTCTGTTTTCTGAAATACCTTATGTAGAATTGGTGACAGAAGATGCTTTGTATTATTTCTATTATTTTTTAACTTACTGATGCTTGCCTTGTTTCCTAAAGTGTAATCTATTCTGGAAAATGTTCCATGCACATTGGAGAAGAAGATACACTGCACTTTCTTGGGGTGCATTAGCCTTTATCTATTTATGAGATTAAGTTGGTTTATTGCATGGTTTAATTCTTCAGCATCTTGTGGAGTTTCTTTCTGGTAGTTCTATCTTTTCTTGAGAGTGGTATATTGAAGTCTCCTACAATAGTGGTAGTGTCTTACTTCTTTTTTCAGTTCTGTTAATGTTTGCTTTGTATATTTTGCAGCTCTGTCATAGATTTTTATTAAGGTTATGCCCTCTTATTCTGTTGTCCCTGATCTTCCTTGTCCTTTGTGATGGTTTTTGCATCGAAATCTATTTTATCACCTTCAAATATCACCTGTAATACTGGTGTGTCTTGCCCAGTTCAGAGGAACGGCAGTGGGGCATCCACACACTGGGGCCAGGTGCCTTCAGGTGGTTGGGCCAGAGTTTCAAGGCAATGGGAAGGGACCTCCAGGTGGCAGGGCTGGGACCTCCGAATGGCTGTACTGGGGACATCTAGGTGGAAAGGCCGGGAGGCTTTCAGGAGATGGGGTCATGATCTAGTGCTCCCAGCCAGAGGGCAGTCCTGGTCACACTAAGAAATTTTTAAGACAGGTACTTAGCTAATCTCCTGGAAGTAATGCATTTGCGGCTTTGGTGACCAAAGCAACATTTTTAGACACATGCTTTAAACCTACGTCTAAAGCAAAATTTATTGTATCTTAAATAGTTGATGTATTGGATATAAAACCCCATGATCTATAGTAATTAAATCACACTGCTTTCAGAAAATAATTATGAAGAATGTTTAATTTTATTCCTCTTCATCATCACGCTGTAAAAATGAGCTAACATTTCGCAAATTTTTCGTGAGGAATTAAAATGAAGTCAGACTTCTAACTCGTGCCTTTTAAAAAATGGTATTTGATTTGAGTGCTTTTTTCATATTTTTCCATTACTGAATATTATGACATTGAACAAACTGGCCAGCTTTTGGTGTTATATTTTTTTTTCTCCAGCTCTTGGTGTTATATATTTTATTTTCTCATCTGTGCAATAAAAATGTAGATTTCAGGTCAAAACCTGCCAGAGAACAAAAATACTTTCCATGATAGCCGAGGAGAGAAATAAGAATCTAACCTGTCACAGGTGGAATGCATATGAGACCCAGGAGAATAAGGCATTCTCAGTGGGTATCAGCTCTCACAGCTTTCAGTGTATATATAATCTTATAGGTCTTACTTAACTCTTTAAGCATTTTAACATTTATGAAGAAACTTACCTGCTAATAATTCTCCTTAAATGTGTCACAATAGCCTCATCTGTGTAATGGAAAGACTGACCATAATAATTTTGAAGGATCTTTTGATCCTAAAATTTTCTATTTCTGTCAAAATTGATTTGTTTGAAAATTGAAGGATAATTTGCCTGTGTGAATGGGCGGGCCTCAGGTTTCTTCATCTGGAAAAGTTTTAGAAGGAGTTTTAAATCTGAAATTATAATTCTAATGCAGCCTTCTAAAACGTTAGTGATATCAACTAGTTATACTTCTCATTTATGTCATAAACATATTCATTGCCAAAAATATTTGTAAGTATTAAAAAATTATTAATGGTTTATATGGCTTAAAGTTGGAATAGTATACAGTTTAAAAAGAATATATGTTAGGGCATTATGATTATCATAAGAGTTTGGAATGAGGGTTGCAGAGTGGAGTATACTCAGGGTGAGGGTGAGAGGGTGCGGGAGGGGGGATTGTATAGCAATGAAGGAAATTTTTTTTTTTTTTTGCTTTTAAAGAAGAGCGAACTAGGTGGGGTTGCAGTGGGCTGGGAGAAAAGTGCAACAATGAATGGAAATCCACAATATCTGTAAATGTTCATTGAAATTAATTATAAATTAAAAAAATTTTTAAAAAGTTGGAAAAGTAAAAACTTTATTTTGCTACTGTCTTTTTTCTTATCATTACAAATATACTGGAGTAGTTTTGGTTTATCACCTTCACATATATTTTAGAATTGTTGTTTATAAACAAACAAAAGAGCTACACAAAGAATATAGGAAAAGACACTACAAGACACATAGACTTAAATACGTGGAAGAATATACCACAAGGATGGAATGTCTTAACATTTTGAAAATGGCAATACTCCTCAAAGGAATCTACAGATACAGTACAGACCCAAAATCCATTTTCCAGAAGATGGAAAAACTAATCACCAAATTTATTTATTAAGAATAAATTACACAGCCTCTGTTGTTCACAAATTTTAGTATACAATGTACATTTTTATTGTATAGATGAGAAAATAAAATACATAACACCAAAAGCTGGAGAAAAAAAATATAACACCAAAAGCTGGCCAGTTTGTTCAATGTCATAATATTCAGTAATGGAAAAACTTGAAAAAGCACTCAAATCAAATACCATTTTTAAAAGGCACAAGTTAGAAGTCTCCCTTCATTTTAATTCATCACCAAGAAAAGAGACTCTATAAGCAAAGTGATACTGAGGAATTTAAAAAAAAGTATGGAACCTTATACTTCTTGATCTTAAAATACTGCAATAAAAACCGTGTATTACTGGTAAAGCAACAGGTATATAAGCCAGTACAATAGAATTAAGAACTCAGAAGTAAATTAATTCAACTAAAAAAAAAACCAAATATACTGTAAAGCTTGTTTTAACAATTATTGTCAAGTATCCTGTTTTTATTCCAATATTCTCGTTAGTAAAATACTCCTTTTTAATAATACACTTAAGTTTAATGATAATGTATACCTGAAGAATTAGTCTTCTCCTTGGTCTAAGATTCTTTGTCAAAGTCACTCTGAGTGCCTTTCACCTTTCTGATTTTTTTCTGCACGTGAAATGTATTAAAGTGTTTCTTCACTTTGACTTGTAAGAGTTAAAAGATTGTTAATACACATATGTTTGAGTGTTTATATGTATAATTTCAAAGGTGAGTATACTTTGCTTTCATTTGTTTTACTCTTGGGCCTGGAGAATATTTCCCTGAAGATAGTAGATTTTGTTTAAAACTTTGAATAGTAAGTAGGAGAAACAAGGGTAAAATGCTAAATTAGTGATCAAAGTTTTTTGGGTTTTTTTACTGTAATAACTTACATAACTCTTTCTTTGCTAGTGTATATATTCATGTGATAATTTTTACCCAGGTATTGTTTTCTGTAGAGTACATTACCTTCTTCTTTAAAAAAAAAAAGTTTGGAAATTCTGCATTTCTTTTTCACTTTGACATTTAAAAAATCACACTTATGCAGATATTTTTCCAATTTTGCCAAAACCAATTAGCTCTGGTGGCCTAGTGGCAAGAAGCTGCACCAGAGACGCATGGTTCGAATCCACCAGATGCTCTGCCGGGAAAGGAGGGACATCTCCTCCTGTACCAGTTAGATCTGATCTGACGGTACACAGACACACATACACAAAATAATAATAAAAAAAAAATCTTAAAAAAAAAACCACACTTATAATTAGTTTATACAAACACATCGATGACATTCTAGGTAACTTTTCCTTGTGTCACTTGTCTGATTTTTATAGGAGATATAATGGTCACATTGAAAGTAAGCCACTAACCGTTCCAAAGGACATTGACCTTCATCTGGAAACAAAATCAGTTACAGAAGTGGATACTTTAGGTAAGGGAAATCTGAGTTTTATGTCAGTAAAAGTACTCCGATTTTATCTGTTGTGGATGGTTATTTTGTTTGCTTATTTGTTTTTCTTGTGCATTATTGACAGGTTGTGAAATCTTTCAGAGAATTTAGGAGCTCAGAATTACTGCATTTGATTTAATTTTTTATTCACCTGTAGAAAACAATAAGCAGCATTTTTCACCCTGTTTTTTAAAAGATGCTTAATTACATACATTTATTATACAACTCTTCTCTTACTAGGGAGCTCTGGTGGCCTATTGGTAAGAAGCTGCACTGCTATCCCAAAGGCACATTGTTTAAACTCACCAGCTGCTACACAGGAGAAGGATGAGCAGTCATCTCTTAGGCTGTTTACTGCCTCTAGCTGTGGGTCATTTCTGACTGTATGGCACACAATAACAACATAAATAGTAATAAGCATTTTTTCATCCTGTTTTTCAAAAAGTGCTTAACTATACTAATGTATTATACAACTTTTAATAAATTGGTATCACAGTTTTTGTTATCTTGAATTCTAGATGACTTTGTGCTGTGTTAATCTGCTCTTTTCATAATCTCATATTTTAAAAAATATATTTGTATTGAATATATTTGTGATAATTCTATTTTATGCTCATATTTGATAGAAAGGAAGGTGGTTTTAGAATAATGAATAAGATTATTACTCATAAACTTTTACTGATTCATGATTAGCTTTTACCCCATTGAGTATCTCTGAATTCTTTTTAACCCATTCTTTACGTTTCCCATATCTCAATTTTATAATTAATGATTCTATTACTGTGACATTTAAAATGAAAACATGTGAATTTTTTGAATATTGGAAAAGACACTGAAGTGACACTATTTAAAAGAATGGTTTTCAAGCATTCTTAGACAAAAAAGAAAAATCATTTTATTCTTTAAAAGTAAAATATACCCAATCCTACTGGTAGAATTTAGTAAATACATAATGACATAGAAGTTAAAGTATGACCATTTTTGAAGAATTTTAATAATCTGGTAATAATAGTCACAAAAGTCTCACAAAAAACAACTTGAAACTTGGTGATGATGTGTACCATCGAGTCAGAACCAACTCGTAGCTGACCCTCCAGCCAGTTTTCAGAAGCAGTAAATCACTTGGGAGGAGATTGCCTATCCTCCTCTCATTGAACAACTGGTGAATTAGAACTGCATCTTTGGGATAGCAGTGCAGTTTCTTACAACTCGGCCACCAGAGCTCCCTTGAGATTTATCTAATATCTCTTATGTAATATTTGTGAAATAATGTGTCTTTAGTATTTTTGATAGTGTAAATGAGGGGGAGAGATGGATAGTCTCCTCCCAGACCCATTAGTATCAGATTTAAGTGGATTCTGACTAACGGCCACATAACAACAATAAATATGGAAACAGTGTTCTCATTCACTCACTGCTGTTGAGTCGAATGACTTCTAGAAGACTTTGATCAGATAAGTAGCAATGGTAGAAGGTTGTGCATCTTTCTCCAGAGGAGTTGCTAGTGGATTCAGGCCACTAGAGATGCCAGCCTTTGAGTTAGCAGCACAAATCTGTACAGAATGTAACTCACTGCAATGTTGTGTTCATGAATTAATCATAGTAAAGGATTTTAAGCATCACAAAAAGGTGATCAGTTTGTTTTATAGTGGGAAAAAGTTTTTGGTTGTTTTGGATAAAGTTAATTTTGAGGAGCATAGATTTTTATTAAATTACATGATGTATATAAAACATTTAACACATTTTTTTCATGGAACATCTGATAGGTTTGAACTGTCAATCTTTGGCTCACTGCCAAGTCCTTTAATAACTGAGCCACCAGGATTCTCCTCATTAAATGATAGTGCAGTAATAAAGACTGGAACATCTGAAATGTCACCTATTAGTTCTGAGTGTGTTTCTTGGATGGTTATGTGAGCAAGGACAATTGTGGAGAATCACAATGCTATTATCAATTGTTAATAAAATTTGAAAGCCTTAGAAATGGATCTTTATTTGTTTCCTCCATTTCCCTATCCTCACATAACAATAACCTTCCTGAAAATTATTCTAAAGCTCAAAATGTATGGATGGGCTATTCTTTTCTTGGTTTGGTAGTTTGTTGTGGGATGTGGGGTTTTTTTTTAATAGAGTAGGGATCAAATAAAAAGCCTTTTATCACTCTAAGGTAAATTTCTCTGATCTGTGTTAGGAAGCTATTATATACATCCAAACCAAAGAGCTAAAGCAATTAAAACAAGGGAAAGCAAATGAAAACTCAATCTGGAAAGGATGTAACATTTAGTCTTGCTGTCACCCCATTGAAGACAATGGAAGCTTTTGTTAATAAGGTTGAATAGGTTATACTTTTGACTAGTATTTTATTTTTAAGACTTTAAAAAATATGTTATTAAAAAATCATCTCCAGTTATAGCAGTACTATATTATACAACTAAGATTTATCTTTATATTGTTT